AGGGGGGAAGGAGACCCCCGGTAAGGAGGGGGCTGGGCGGGGGAGGAAAGCCCTAGAAAACCCTCAGCTAAACCGTTTCTTTCCCTTCGACTAATCGGTTCTCACAGCCAGGAAATCCCTCCTGATCCCTTCCAGGTCGGAGGTTTCGTACCGATCCCATTTTCCCTTCCAGGGTGATCCATCTTCTCCGGGCTTCTGTCAGCTGAGGGGTGATCTCTGGAGACGCTGCCCCACTCCGGGATCTGCTTCTGGGATCCCAAGTGAGCGAGGGAGAAGATCCCCAGGGCAGGAGGGGGACTCCGGTCGCTCTTCCCCTCCAGGAAGGGCCGCAAGTGAAGTCCCCCCGCTCCCCCACCCAGAGCCCAGCTAAGACCCCCGATCCCCGCTTCTCTTCCGGCCCAAGCCCAGAATTCAGGGAGGTTCCCTGTCTGAACAGCGGCTCTTCCTCGGTTCCCTTCCCTAATTCTCAGCCTGAGGATAAAGGTCCCTTATTCTGTCTTGTAATTTGAGACACAGCACTTCTTTCGCTGAAGAGAAAAGGGGGGTGAATTTGCCTCTTCCTGCCCATGCTCAACGATGCTGAGTTTGAGGAACAAAGGAATAGCATGCACATTTACTCCTGTCTACAAAATATCTTTGTCTTTATCAGGTTGTAAATTTCCTGGAGAGGGTCTCTTTTATGGCTTTGTCTCCCTTCCAAATGAGCAGAGCAGAATCAGCTTTCGTTTCCGTTTAAGAATACAAACAAGATTTCTCAAACTTTCCTACTGCGTTTGTAAAGGGTTTTAAGACAAAGTTTGGTTTCTGGCTCTCCTTCTTGTCATGCAAATTGAGTCTTTGAGATAGCAGGAAGACAAATTGAGCAGAGGAGGGGCGGGGTTAGAGAGAGAGAGAGAGAGAGAGAGAGGATTCAGGCAACCTGATTTTACCTCTGCTTTGGAGACTCAGATTAACATTGTGTTTTGACTTGGGAGTCCTGGTTTCAATATAACTTTATCACAAGAATTCAAATTGTTTTTAATCTTCACAAGGAATCCGATATAGCAATAATTCCTTACTTTTAAGAGTCCAGATTAACTGTCGTTTTACTGATGGGCTTCAGGACTTTAAGTTTTTAATATCATTTACTATTCTGTCTTATGATTCACTTGCTGAATATAAAGACAAATTGAATAACTCTACAAATTCTTCCATACAAAGCTTCTCTAATAGGATTATATTAGGTGTCCTTAAGGTAACTCAGTTATGTCAAGATGCATTTAATGTCCAATTCTTTGCATAGTTGAAATCATAGTGTAAATGATATTAATCTTTCTATCCCATAGTCGCAGAGGCAGGGGTAGAGCTGCTACCACGAGGGTGTGTTCAAGCAAGAGTGAAGGAGCCTCCCCCAACCCAATAAGGGTCAATTTAGTAGCCAATCAGGATTACAGATATGACCACATGACATGGACATTTCCCAGGATACCTTAACTACATTTACCATGATGCATTCCCTTAAGGGGACAGCTCACAATTCCTAACTATCCTAAATCCCATTAACTCTAAACTGTCTGGACAGCACAACCCTCACTGTAGTCCCCGTTTCAGGGACCCTTCCCCTCCCCCGAGTTAGCTAGAAAGGGCCCGGAGGCCCCTTTCTGAGGAGGACCAGGCCCCAGGGGCAGTTTGGGAACCTAAGCGGACATCTAGTTCACCCCTCCGTGCACACAGAGGAAAGTCTAGCTGAGAATGGTGAAGAGAGCAAAGAAAGTGGAGGGTCCCCGCAGGGCCTGCCCTGAACCCCCTCTCCTTGAGCTGCAGCCCCCCAAGACTGAAGGGATCCCCCCTCTCACTTTCAGTCTCCCCTCCGGTCACTTTCATCACTGAACTCTCCTTCCTTCAGCTGAAGTCACAAAGAACTCTGCCCAGAGACTGATGATGCTGGAGCAGGGAGAATTCCCATTGGTACTTCAGCTCAGTCTGCCCCTCCCAGCTGAAAAGTCTGAGAAAACCGCCTCCTCCCCCTCCACACATATTCCTGCTCTGACACACACACACAATCACTATGACACACAGACAGACACATGTTCATTTCATGGGTAGATTCTGCAGTGGGAAGAGCTGCTGCACTAGATGACAAAGTGGGGGGGAGAGGTAGTGAGGGGAAGTCAGGGGTCACCCACAGACACCTCCCAAATGGGAGGGAAGCCCCGGAAAACCCTGAAGTAAATGAGAGGCGTTTCCCCTCCTTGAAACCCGCGTCTCCCTTGCTCTGAATGCCTGAACGCGACTCCTTCCGGTCTCCTGCCCCTCCAACCCCCCTTTCCTTCCTTCTGTGGGTCAGGATGACCCCCCTTTCCCTTGCAAAGCAGCCCCTGATGAAAGTCTCAGAGTAAAGTTTGAGCCGTTTCTCCTCCACTTCCCGCTCCTTTTCTCAGAAAACAGGTTGGACTAGATGGCCTCCAGGACCCTCCCAACTCTGTTAATCTGCTATCTGACCACCATCTCAAACCATCTAAGAATCTATCTACTTTTTTCAGATTGCTGAGGACAATAAGCTGAATTTGTAAACTGTTCAGAGAGTGTGGTAAAGCATTGTGGAGTGGTATATAAGTCTAAGTGGAATTGCTGTTGCTATATAGTTTGTCCCAAGCATGGATCCTTTTAGAAGATGACCATTCTGAGCAAACCTCTCTCCACATTCCATGCATAGTATTTTATTTTGAGTATATGTTTTATTTTTATTCATACACGTTTTGAATACAGTGCATTGTCAGGGCATATCATTTACAAAAAAGCAAAAGAAAAAACAAACAAATATCAACACATATATAGTAACAATGATAGTGTAACAAAACAATTTTAACTGAATTTCTGGTATTAGCTTATTTATACTTTTTATGTTAATTATATCAACATGTTTCTAATTATCAACCTCTGTATTTAACTCTTACATAACAATAATCTTTCTTCACTTAATTTCTAATGGGAAATAAGATTTCATCTATGAGCAAAGGTCTTTCCATATTCCGTGTATTTAAATGGTTTCTCTCCAGTGTGCATCTTTTTGCACCTTTTAAGATCACTTTCCACACTCCATGTATTTATACAGGTTCACTCCTCTGTGTATTATTTTATGGGAAATAAGATGACCTCTTTGAGCAAAGGTCTTTCCACACTCCCTGCATTTATATGGCCTTTCGTGTGGATCATCTTATGGGAAATAAGTATATATCTATAAGCAAAGCACTTTCCACATTCCGTGCATTTAAATGGCTTCTCTCCTGTGTGGATCTTTTTGTGCCTTTTGAGATCATTGTTCCGAGTAAATGTCTTTCCACACTCCATGCATTTAAATGGCTTCTCCCCTGTGTGGGTCATCTTATGGGAAATAAGATGACCACTTTGAGCAAAGGTCTTTCCACACTCTATGCATTCATATGGTTTCACTTCCAAGTGGATTCTTTTATGGATAGTAAGTAGCCTGCTTGTTATAAAACATTTTCCACATTCTGAACATTTATAAGGCTTCTCTTTTGTGTCAATCACTTTTTGAGATGTAAGGAAGTTATTCCCAAGGCAAAGAATGAATGTCCCATTGTGTCTTCTTATAGCATCATCTCCTTTGTTTTGCATTGGAGCATCCCTGGAAGATGAGCTGTCCTGGTTGGAATTCTTTGACTGTTTTTTTTCATGGCTTTCTAATACCATTCGAATTCCAAACTTCTCCGTTTCATCTTTAGCATTGATCACTTGGAACGGTTCATAGGAATCTTGATTCTCCTGCCCATTATTACCTTCAAAGCAAAAGGGAAATGGAAATGATGACAG